AAAAAAAAAAAAAATTGACAACTTAGGCAAAATGGACAAATTCCATGAGAAATATAACTTATCAAAACTGACATAATACAGACTGAAATATCCTAATAGCCCTAACTCTACTAAATGAATCTGTTATCATATTTATTCACACAAAGAAAGCTACAGGCCCACATGGCAAATTCTCTCAAACATTTAAGGAACAACTAATGTTAATTGAACACAAATCCTTCCAGAAAAAGAGGAATATTTAACAACTGATTTTGAAGCAAGCATAACACCTCATATCAAAATGTGACAAAGAAAACATGAGCACATATGAAAAAATATTTAACAAAAAATACTATACTAACAAATGGAGTCTAGTAATATATTAAAAAATGATTCATCGGCTGGAGGGAGGTTTAAAAAGAAAAAAAAATGATTCATCATGACCAAGTGAGGTTTATCACAGGACTGTAAAGTTGTTAAAACAACTCAGCAACACCCACATTGTACCACAGCAGAAGAGATCTTTCACAAAAATCTCATCACATTCCTCACTTTCTCAAAACTCTTTGGCTTGGTTTTTGGCTTCCCATAACTACATACAAGACAGTAAACATAGCACATAATGCTCCTTTCACAACCCCAGCCCTGCACTGCAGCCACATCTCTAGTTACCACCCTCTACTATGCCCCCCCATATTCCCACTACAATGGCCATGTCCTCTGCCCAAGATACACCACCTCTTTCCTTCCATCACAAATGCCAAAGCTCCATCTCAACCCAGTTTCTCTGAAAGTCTTCCTAACTTTATCAGGTTGATTTCCTTACTACTCTCTCCACATTCCCACTACATCTTTTGTAACCCTCAATTACAATAGATACTACATTTATTTGTTTTTCTTTCTATTCAACTATCACGCCTACAGGGCAGGGAGTGCCACATTAACAGAATAAAGAAAAACCGTATCATTTCAAAAGATGCAGTAAAAGCATTTGACACATGTCAATACATATTTGTGAAGGAAAAAAAAAAACCTCAAATTAAGAATTAAAGGAAATTTCAATCTAATAAAGACATCTAAGAAAAATCTAACAGCATCATTCTTTAACTTCCAAGTATCATTAATCTTAGTAGCAGTTGTCGACATTTACATGAGCTTATTTATCTCTCACTGGTCTTCACAACCACCCTGTTTAAATTTGAAACAAAAAAAGAAAAAAAGGAACAAATTATTGTCCTAACTGGTATAATAGCAACTCTCGGTCAGAAACGTTAAATCATATACTCAAGTAAGAAAGCCAAGACAAGAATACAGTCTTTCACCCAAAGTACCTTTTCACCAGAGTATGTTATCTCTAATGTTCAGGTTCATGTCACAATGGACAATCAGTTCCTCCTACAAAGCATACTTTGGGCCCCTTATCAAAGACTGAGTAATAGTCTTTACTGTGACAATTCTCAACATTTTCTAGCAATGCCACTACTTTAGGTGACTATGGTGAACAGGCAGTAAAATATGCAAACAGTTATCAAATAAAAATGGACAACTACCACTAATGTAGAATGAAAAATTTTTAAACCCACATTAAGGACCCATAGAACAATATCAAATCCCCTTTCCTCAAATAGCTGTGCCACAGAGAGAAAAGGGCATAATCCTTGTCTGCTCCTTCCCTTCGCTAGTCTAAAATGCAGCAGATGCAGCAGAGAAACAAGTAATTCAAGGCCTTATTTGAATATGTATTTCTAATTACCTACCTGTCAGCAGCAAGCTTGGGACCACAGCTCCTGAACAGAGAAACCAGAGTGACATGGCCAACAGTTCGGAGTTTCTGTCTGTGATTCATATGAATTTTTCATGCAGGAAAATATAAAGGTTGCCTTAACATCATTCCTTCTGTGATTCACCCACAGCAAACAAGTTCCACAATGCGGTTAGATCCGCTTCTTTACTACACAACATGCGCTTCAATTTTCAAAGCACACAGGGAAATCCAAGTCTCTTAAAATAATCTGTTTAGAGAACTACAAAAAAAAAGATAGGAAGAATTTTTCTTCTTTAAACTAGCTTTGCCACTCAGCCGCCTACAGGCCAATCATTTCTATGCATTCTCTTTTGAATCCTTTTGAGTTTCCTAAAGGTGAACTTTGACTTTGAGTCATCATTTGTCTGGGACAAATCATTAAACAATTCAGACAAAATAAGTCTTCTCCACAAGTGGGGTTGCCTTCTGTGTGAGCATCCCAGGTCCTTAGTAAAACAGTCCATATGTTTCATGATAACACAGTGCCCTTTAAAGACAAATTCCTAAAAGGCCTGGTGAATTTCTTACCTGACCTTACCACTGTCGAAAGTCAGTGACCACAGAGCTATCTCTCACTGACATTTACAGGGATTGAAGTAAAAATAAGAACCTCTTTTCTTTAAGTGACACAGAAAATTCAAAGATCACTAGATAATAGAGTACCAAGCACAGTCCACCAGTGTCTCAGATACTTCTACACTCAAAATGTCTGTTTTCAACAATCTTTGTGAGTGTCCTATGAAAATCACTGGGTAACCTAAATTTTTAATCAAGCGGTCAACAAAACAGCCTTATCATGACTACTTTCTGGATAAGCCAATACTGTAATTTCAAAGTTCCCTTTAATTCTAAGAATTCAGAAATGTCTGGACAGTCTAATAATGTCTTTAAAATTAAGAAGCCATCCTTTCGATGTAATTCTATTTTTACTAATCATCTAAGAAAAAAAGAAGTAGGGGTTATCAAGATAATTTAGACTTCTCTCAAATACCACACCATATAACAATGCTGTGCAAACTATACACAGACCAATCCACCTAACTTCACAATAATACCCTCAAATCTAATTTCAGTAAGAAACAAAAAAGAATGGAAAATAAAAGAATGATAATGTCACCTAATCACATTCTAACATACTTTTTTGAAAAGCTTCCCTTTAACTGAACAATTCCAATAAACTCTCCTACTATCTACCTGCGACAAACACAGCTGCCAGTATCTCCAGGTTAAGGTAGAAATTGCCATCACAGGGCCTGTGGCAGCTCATGCCTAGCAGTTTGGGAGGCAAAGGAGGAGGCAGGAGGATAGTGTAAGGGCAGGAGTTTGAGACAGCCAGAGCAATATAGTGAGACCCCCATCTCTACAGTGGGGTGTGGGGTGCAAAAAGATAGCAGTTGCCACCAGAGATATGGCATTAGGGCACACAGAAAAGAAATTATGTAAAGCAGCTAAAGATTCAGGAAGACTGAAGGGTGAAAGCCCCAACTCTTAGTTTCAGAGGTGGAAAAGAGAAGTTTTTGCACTTTTGCACCTACCATTCTACCTGCGACCTGCCTATGGACCACACTCTTTGTGACCCACTTGTATGTAACCCAACTCTCCATTCCAAATGGCAACTCCCTTGCCTCTGACTTCCTCTGCTCCTATGAAGGAGCTGTGTCCTAAGGAGTTGTGTCCTCCTTGGGACACAACTGTCCTTTGTGTCCCAAGTCTACAACTGAACTCTGAAGTCAATTTATCCACCCAAACTTTTGAAACCACATCCCCAACTCACAGTCACATTTCACATAGAATTTGTTCAAAGATACAGCATTACAGGTGTTGCAATGTATGTGAAATATGCAGTTTCTAACTTTTCATCAAAAAGGGAAATTCTTCAGTTCAGAGATAAGGCTTAAGTACAATGACAGATATTGTTTGATTTGAGTTTAAAAGGCATAATTTCAACAGAGAAAAAAAGTGTGGGTGTGTGCGTGTGTGTGTGCGCACGCACACATGTGGCACATGCACACCACATTTTACATATAGTCAGCCCTCTGTATAATGAGGGTTCTGCATCCATGGATTCAACCAACTGTGGATCAAAAATATTCGAGAAAAGAAACTGCACCTGTACCTAGTGTGTACAGATCTTTTTTCCTGTCATTATTCCCTAAACAACACAATACAACAACTATTTTTACGGTATTTACATGGTATGAGGTGTTATTAAGTAATCTGGGGATGATTTAAAGTATACGGGATGATGTACACAAATTTATGCAAATATTAAGCTAACTTTTTATTTTTATTTTTTTGAGACAAAGTCTCACCGGGTCTCCCAGGCTAGAGTGCGGTGGTGCAGTATCAGCTCACTGTAACCTCCATCTCCCAGGTTCAAGTGATTCTCGTGCCTCAGCATCCTGAGTAGCTGAGATTATAGGCACCCGCCACCACGCCCAGCTAAATTTTGTATGTTTAGTAAAGACGGGGTTTCACTATACTGGATAGGCTGGTCTCAAACTCCTGACCTCACCTCAAGTGATCTGCCTGCCTCTGCCTCCCAGAGTAGAGTGCTAGGATTACAGGCATGAGCCACTACGCCCAGCCATATTAAGCTATTTATATCAGGGACTTCAGCATACTTGGATTTTGATATCTACAGGAGGTCCTGGGGCCGGGGTGGGGGGGGGAGGGGAGGGGGAGGAGGGAGGGAGGGAGACGGGAGAGAAGAGGGGGAGAGGGAGAGAGAGAGAGGCAGGCAGAGAGAAATGCAGGGAGAGAGACAGAGAGAGAGACGGGGAGGGGGAGAGAGGGAGTGTGTGTATAGATATATAAACATACATGTACACACCCATACATATACATACATATATATTTTTTTCTTGGTCTTACAAAAATAACTATGTCCCCTCTCCTAAACATTCCTCATCATATTCCCCAGGAAAGAAGAATCTTCCAGAAAAATCTATAATCCTTCTCATTTAGAATTATGGTTACTAGTGCACAGTACTCATATTTAATTAAGAAACCATCATTTTGCTTATCTCAGATCCTCATATACGTGTACAATTATGGAGAAGTTCATCTGTAAGAAAATAAAGGGGTGGGGACGGAGGGGAGGGTGGGGAGGGACGGAAGGGTGGGGAGGAATAACATGGGGAGAAATGCCAAATATAGTATGTACCTAAAGTAAAATAAATAAATTTATAAATAAATAAATAAATAAAGGGAAACTGTCTACACATGGGCATGTAGAAAGAAATCATGGAGATGGATTCAGCCCTCAAAGCAAAAGCTCTATTTAATTTGAATTTTTACTTAAACCAAAAGCAGAACTTTTTAACTGTCACTAATCTTAACTGGTCAAGGAATGCTGTATCAATCTCATAATGTGGCAAAAAACTGCCCTTAAATGATCAGGTCAGAAAGAGTAAGAGTCTCTATCCTGGTCCTCAGTAATATAGAGAGCTCCCAAATAAAATATTTGTATTAAAGAACAATTCAGCCAAATATACAGACAAGTCTCCGATCTACAAATGGCCTGTACAAACAAACTTCATGTTCGTTAAACATGAGATGCAAATACTAAACACAAATTTTGAGTTACAAACCACAATTCACATTCAAACTTTTAGAACAAGCAAAAGTTCTCTAAACAACATATGCTAACCCAGCCACTATTTGTTACTAAAGTCTGGCAACAAATCATGGAACTGGATTAGACCTGAAAGCAAAAGCTGTATCTAATGTGAGCATTATTTAATTTGTCACTAGACTTAGTTCAGCCACAGTCCCTGCCCTCATGGAGCTTAGTGTATGCCATCAACCCAATCCATTCACCCATTTTAGACCAACAATGTGATGTGACAGGATTCAGCAAATGGTCGAAACACTACTTGTTCTGGACTGATTTGCTTGTCTCCCAGATGACTACATGGCCCTAACGAGATATAATAATCAAAGCCATGACTGCTTATCCATTTGAAAATAGGTATGAGAAATCATTTTGATTAAACTGGAAAGGCAAAAATAAATCTGTGAAAGCTAAAACTGTTCAACAGTAACAGTAAAACAGGTCATCATTAAAAATCAAAGAAATCACTAGTTCTATTATCAACCTTTTGGTGTATCTTTACATTCATTTGGAGAGTCATGGTGAAAGACAAGTGATACAGCACTTCTGTTTTTAATAATTACAGCTTAAACTATCTATAGGTTGATGAAAAAGTAATTGCAGATTTTGGTCCTTAAAAGGGACTTGAGGAACCTGCCCAAGATTACAGAAAAGTTTCTTTCTCCATAATGAGATAGTCGGGCAATTTCCTAGTTTTGTATCTTTGGTTCAATAGAAATATTTCAAAGTGGTATATGACCACTTGATGTGGAGTCTGGGTTTCTCTATAATAAATCCTTTTGCCAAATGCAGGGAGTTGCAGACTTGCTACTGGCAAGAGTAAAACAAACAGGTGAATAAACCTGTCCTGATGTGGAAGCATTCTCCTACTGGAGTTCAGTCTTGATCACAAGTGTCAATGTAGGAATCAGACTCCTAAGAGGGTTACAGTATCTCCTGACAAGACCTGCCAACCACAGCAATAATCAGCTATTACTTGATGACTGCCTTCTGATATATTTGGGTAAGTAGCTGAGCAAGCCAAGGGGAAGCTGGATGATTAAATCAGAAACAGGGGATTCTTAGTTAGACCAGTCTTCATCTGAGAAAAAAAAAAAAAATGTCAATAAATAATCACTTGGAAGTTGACCCACATATTTTCCTTGAAAAATATGCATTTTTCCCCCAGCAAAATTGTGTTAGGGGTAATGTTATTGAAGAATGAACTGACATGAATATGTGGAGATGTTTTTTAACACCATACTATACTAGACATCTGAAGGCCTGTGGCAATTTTTTTTTTTTTTTTTTTTTTTTTTTGAGACAGGATCTCACTCTGTCACCTAGGCTGGAGTGCTATGGCACAATCACAGCTCATTGCAGCCTTGACCTCCCTAGCTCTAGTGAGCCCTCCCACCTAAGACTCCTGAGTAGCTAGGACTATATAGTAGGCAAGCACCACCATGCCCATTTTTTTTTTTTTTTAAGAGATAGGGTCTCACTATGTTGCCCAGGTCTCAACTCCCAGACTCAAGCAATTCTCCAGCCTTAGTCTCCCAAGGTGCTAGGATTATAAGCATGAGCCACTTTGCCTAACCCCAACAGAAGATTTAAATTCTCTTACTATAACTTCTTAAAAGATTATGAAAAGATCAAAATGTAGATAAATCAAGTTTTAAGATACTGTGTAATAAGTGAATTAGGCCATCCATTGTACCATTTCTTTCTCTGAATACTCAGGAAGGGTTTGGCAGTGCAAGATCTCTGCAACATTAAAAAATTCAATAAAAAGTAAACATATGGTTAAAAAAATACATATAAGTTAAAAAATAAAATTCACACAAAATTTCCTCATGCTATTTCCTCTTTGAGCACATTTTTAAAAAAGAATTCTGAAGTCATAGCCCAACTTAACAAGAAAGAATGTTATGAATCAATTATTCCATTTCCATCGTTAACAACACGGGAGGAAGACTGTAAGAAAATGCTTAAGTATATTTCATCTGGGGGGATGCAGAGCAGCAAAACACATAAAACATATTTTCTATTTCTACTTGAAATAGTTCAATAAACTTAGGAGGCTCTAAAAACAGTGAAATATTAGTATAAAGCTCCATTTATCCAAATGTAATGCTTAAAAAGAAGTATTTCTAAGTAAATTTTGGAGTGTGAAAACCACACATACGTAAGATTCTGTGGTACTAACCAACTCTCTCTGAAGTTATTGCCAGAAGAGCACAGATTTATCTACAGCCAGATATATGGAGGATGAAATCCTAGAAGTTTCAAAATCTGTGAATAGAAATGCTAACAACAGTTTTAACCCCTGTATTTCTTATTTTCTTCACCTGTGAAACATAGAGCTCATACCACACCGGAGAAGATTAATGTTAGGATCAAATCAAATAAGTATGTAAAAGAAAACCTTTTTAAAGACAGGAAAATAAATTATTATTGATCAAAATTCAAATGACAATGGAGAAAAGCTACTACATTCTAAAATATTACCAAAACTGACTGAGGTACAAGGCCAACCCCATGATATTTGCAAGCCACTCATGAATCCAATCCTCACCTAACTATGATATCAAAGCCTCACCTGACGGTCTCCAACCTGCTGCTACCATGCCCCTACCCAATAAGCAAACATAAATTTTAGTTCATGACCCTAAGATACGAAAATAGGACCAAAAGAGATCAGAAAACAGGCAGGCCCTGGAAATCATGTATTTTGTGATATACTAATTAAGGAGCAGCACAGACTCTAGTGACAACTACAGACAATCATAGCTACAAATAGTATAGGAGAGGGATGGAAAGAAGAAAGGTTTCAGCAACAGAAAATACTGAAGGCCAAGTCCAAATTGCCAAACCCAGAATACTGAAATAAATTTAAGCAAAAGTGTGCCAGGATCATGTGTCTTCAATAGAAAGAACTCATGAGATGGATACAATCTAAACATACACCTCTTCTGTTCAGCTAAAAAGTACTTGTATATACATTAACATACTTGATCCTTAAAACAATCCTTCTGTAAAGCAAGTAATGGAACTGAAAAAAAGTGGGGTTGTCTTATTCAAGGTAACAAAGCCAACAAGTGGTGGAACCAAAATGCTAACTTGGGCTTTCTGGTTCCAAAGTCAAAGTTCTTTGCATCACAACATGCTGCTTCTTGTTGAAGTCAAGGCTAAACCATACATGTATTAGAAATGCAGCCGACCTGCTCCAATAGACACAGGATTTTTTAAAGTAATAATACATGCATAGAAGTATGACATGCACAATGTTGGGCCTGGCAGCAAATCTTCTAGCTTCTAGTATAAAGAAATGGCAGTGCAGTTACTGGTAAAATCAGAAAAGGTGTTTGCAGCAGAGCACTATAAACACAAAAGAGCCAATTAAGCATTAATAGCTCCTCAAGGAGTAAACACATGGGTCTTCAAAACACTGCACCAAAAATTGTTTTT